TTGTTGAAAATTGGTCTTCAGTATTGACTTTATTTTTGTCTGACATAAATAATGTAAATCTGAACTCAAACTTATTACATAGAAATATAATATGATTGAAATTAAGATTTTTTTTTTCCAGTTAAATAATGATGCAGGGGGATGAGTAGAATCGGCTTGTAGATCAGAAGACAAAGAGGCACACGAGCAAATCTTAGGGAAAGCTGGCTGGGTTGCTACGAACTGACCTTCTCGTCTTTTCCATTACAACAAGGGGAAAGTCTTCATCTAGTACTCTGTTCTCCCCTTTAGTCACTAGGGGAGACTTACAAAATAAGGTTACAGAGAACTCTAGAAACTAGTACGAGAAAACTCTACAGAGTGTACAGTGCTGACTAGTAGATTAAAGAAAAAGAAAACCAAAGGAACAGGTACTCCACTTAGTTGAAGCTAGCTGCATCATCCTCCCCAGGCCTGCAAAAGAACTCGTCCTCGAGTTTAAACCTGAACTTCAGATGTTTCGTGATGATATGGCACAAGATGCCTAACATTGAACACATCAGAAGTGCGTAGATGGCTAGGTAGCTCCAGTTTATACGCGTTGTTATTAACCCTTTTTATCACTTTGCACGGTCCTATTTTCCTCTGGCTTAACTTATTGTATTCTTCAGCAGGAAAACGATCTTTGGTGAGGATAGCCCATACCAAATCTCCTTCTCCGAACACAACCTGACGACGGTGTTGGTCAGCTGCAGCCTTATATTTAGCATTGCTTTCTTGTATTCGTTGATGGACAAGTTTATAAATTGAGCCCATCTCTTCTACCATATTCTCTGCTTTCAAAATTTTCTTTCCAATGGCAGGTATAGGTGCTAGTTCTAGAACTCCATTGGGGACTCTACCATAAATTATCTCAAAGGGGCATAGTCCAGTAGAACGATTGGTTGTCCTATTGAAGGCAAACTCAGCATGTGGTAGAATTGTGTCCCATTGTTTCGGCTTGTCGCCTAGAAGAGCTCGTAACATCTTCCCTAAGCTTCTATTTACCACTTCAGTTTGACCGTCCGTCTGTGGATGATAAGCCGTGCTGAAATTCAAAGTAGTTCCCATTTGTCTCCACAACGATCGCCAAAAATGAGACATGAACTTGGTGTCTCGGTCAGAGGTAATACTCCTTGGCACACCATGCAACCGCACTATTTCTCGAAAGAATAAAACAGAAATTTGACTAGCATCAGATGTCTTGCGGCAGGCTATGAAATGCGCCATTTTGCTGAATTTGTCTACCACGACAAAGATGGAGTCCACTCGACGCTGTGTTCGTGGGAGACCTAGAACAAAATCCATACTTATATCTATCCATGGTGCATCAGGTACAGGTAAGGGCATATACAAACCTGCATTCGTAGCTGTACCTTTTGAAACTTGACAGGTATGACATCTCTTCACGAACCTTTCCATATCTCGTCAAGCATGGGGCCAAAAATACTGTTTCAGCAATAGTTCTACAGATTTGTCTCGGCCTCGATGTCCTTCATTGTGAATCTCCTTTATGATCAGATCACGTACAGAGCATTTTGGAATGCAGAGTTGAACCCCACGAAAAAGAAATCCTTCATGGATGGTATATTCAGCAGAGTTCCTTTCTTGAGCAGCCTCATAAATTTTGTTGAAAAAGGGATCAGTTCTATAGAGCTCCGGAATACTGTCAAAACCAACAACTTGAACCCTCATCATGCTTAGGCATTGTGCTCTGCGGCTCAGTGCATCAGCCACCCTGTTTTGTGCTCCAGATTTGTGCTTGAGTACAAAATTATACTCTTCCAAAAAGCTTGCCCACCGTGCATGTTTACGGTTCAGGTTAGGCTGATTTCGGATGTATTTTAGTGCTTCATGATCACTATACAAAATAAAGTCTTGATGTAGTAGGTAATGCCTCCAGTGTTGCAATGCTCGAACCACTGCATACAACTCAGCTTCATAAGTGGAATAGTGTATTTGTGCACATGTCAGTTTCTCACTGAAGAAAGACACAGGACGAGATTCTTGGCTAAGAACATCACCAATTCCTTTTCCTGATGCATCACAATCCACTTCAAACAACTTGTTAAAATCCGACAAGGCTAGGCAATCAGTGGATGCCACTTTGGCCTTAATCTCCTCGAAAGCTTGCCTCGCTTCTTCCGTTAATACAAAAGCTCCACCTCGTTTCATGCAATCAGTGAAAGGTGCCATGATTGTGCTGAAGTTGCGAATAAAGCGTCTATAAAAAGAGGCAAGCCCATGAAAGCTACGAGCTTCAGTTAATGTGCGTGGAGCTGGCCAACTAAGAATTGCTTCAACCTTGCTTGGATCAACTTGTAAGCCTCTTCCAGACACAATAAACCCGAAGAAGTTGACTGAAGAGACCAACAATTCACACTTCTTTGGATTAGCATACAACTGCTCACGCCGTAAAGCACATAACACTTCTCTCAAGTGTTGCAGGTGGTCTTCCATGCTACTGCTATATACTAGTATGTCATCAAAATATACGACAACAAATTTTCCGATAAAAGGCCGTAATACATGATTCATCAACCTCATAAATGCACTTGGAGCATTAGAAAGACCGAAAGGCATTACTAACCATTCTTAGAGCCCGTCTCTTGTCTTGAAAGCCGTCTTCCACTCATCGCCTGGACGGATCCTTAATTGGTGGTACCCACTCTTGAGATCAATCTTTGAAAACACCACTGCCCCTGCTAAATTATCCAACATATCATCGAGTCGAGGTATAGGAAATCGATACTTAATCGTTATCTTATTTATTGCTCGAGAATCAACACACATGCGCCATGAACCATCTTTTTTTGGTGTCAGGAGTGCAGGGACAACACATGGGCTTAGGCTAGGTTGAATAAAACCTTTATCTAATAGTTCTTGCAGTTGACGATTTAGTTCCTCATACTCTTTGGGATTCATTCGATAAGCCGGACGATTTGGCAAACTAGCTCCTGGTACTAAATCAATCTGATGTTGAATGTCTCGCATGGGAGGTAATACAGAAGGAAGCTCCTTTGGAAAGACATCCGAAAATTCTTCCAATAAGTCATGTGCCTCCTTTGGTATGCCAACTTCACTCTTCTGCTCTGAAAGCAGTAGCAGATATACGCCTCCTTCTATTGCTTCACGCATAAATCTCTTACAAGATATGAGACTTGTGGTGCGTGATGATTCAGAACTCTTGGATTTGACTAACTCATCCTCTTTCACTGGGTTAAACACAAACTTTTGGCCATCTTTTATGACAGTATATGTGTGCTTACGGCCATCATGTACAGCATGGCGGCCATACTGCCAAGGTCTTCCTAGAATTAGGTGGCTAACATCCATATCAACAACATCACATTCTACCTCATCAAAGAATTTATTGCCAACGGAGAAAGACACCAAACACCGAAATTTTACCTTCGATACCTTATCAGATTTGAACCAGCGCATGTTATAAGGACAAGGATGATTTTCCTTCTTAAGCCCAAGTTTATTTACTGCCTCCTCTGATATAGTATTTTCCCAGCTGCCATTATCAATAATAACATGACATACTTTTCCACCTATAGTGCAGCGCGTGTGGAACAAGCTCCGTCTTTGCCAATCTTCGTCTTTTGGGGGTATCATCAAAGCTCGCTCCATTACTAACATGTCCCCTGTATCTCCATCCAGCTCAACCTCATCATTATCATCATAATTATCATATGTAGGTTCACCTTGCTGCTCTGTCACTTCATCATAGTCACCTACTAATCCTTTACCTTCCCTGCCGATGTTCCTTGGGCAATCTCTTTGTAAATGTTCTGAAGAACCACATTTAAAACAAGTACCTCTTGTTGTTGCTGACTTGGACTTAACCCCGACACCTTTAGGCAAAGGGGCAGACCTTGTTCGCCCTGGGTCGCTGCTGCTCGCCGCTCTGATACCAACTGATGCAGGGGGATGAGTAGAATCTGCTTGTAGATCAGAAGACAAAGAGGCACACGAGCAAATCTCAGGGAAAGCTGGCTGGGTTGCTACGAACTGACCCTCTCGTCTTTTTCATTACAAGGGGAAAGTCTTCATCTAGTACTCTGTTCTCCCCTTTAGTCACTAGGGGAGACTTACAAAATAAGGTTACAGAGAACTCTAGAAACTAGTACGAGAAAACTCTACAGAGTGTACAGTGCTGACTAGTAGATTAAAGAAAAAGAAAACCAAAGGAACAGGTACTCCACTTAGTTGAAGCTAGCTGCATCAAATAACCAACCCCCACATGCATTGGCAGGTCACCATATTGATCAGGGTGTATCTCTTGAAGCAGAACGGAATACAGAGTTTGCATAGTATGTGATATGCAAAGATGTGACGACATAGCATATTGTCAGGGGAATTGCCTTCTGGGTGGGACAATGCTCTTCCAGTTAGAGTTCCCACTTCCAAGCATCTCTTGCCTTTTCAGTCATCAGGTTTCAGATTGACATACACTCCGAGGTAGTATATGCTTGTTTTCATTGTTTTGTTCCTTTTATACTTGCATATGTAGATAGTCCCTTCTGATGCTTCAGTATGTGATTGTTCTTGCTAAAGTAACCAGGATTTCTTGGAGGTGGTGCTGATCTTGCAACATCAAATACGGAGTAAGACATTGGTAATTACATATCCTAGAGTTTTTCAAGCAGCTTAAATGATGCATTATCTGCATAATAGCAGTTTGTTTGTTCCAACTCAGCTTAATAATGTATGGATTGTTGTGTCAATGCCAGTGCAAGTCATGTAGAATTGTTCGGCAATGTAAGGACATGCTTGTCTGACATTAATTGCTATCAGATCCTAGCTGAGTTAATTTTGCTCGAATATAGTATCAGGGAAAAAGAAGTACATTTAACAGAGAAATATTCAACTAAGCAAATGATATGTATTATATCCTGGTGTTTCTCAAAAGTGACAAAATAAATAAATTTCTTTCTAATGGTTGATCTTAAAGTTCAAGCAACTGTTGCTGCAATCTACTTGCATATTACTCTAGTACGGCGATTTTGTCGCCAGGATATTAACTCTTTTGTAATCTCATCCTTGTGTGGATGAACTTCAGCTGCTAAGGTAACAGACAATTCCTCCAACGCTCCCGCCCTGGAGAGCAGAAACCTTGCAAGCATCTTCTCGAGAGGCCGCCCTTCGAAATTTCCAATGTTGATTCTTCTCACCCTGTAAGCCAAGCACCTGACGTGCGTCTTCCACAGAGTCTTGGGCATTCGGTACTGGACGCCATTGCTGACGGCCGGGCCCTCTTCTGGCTCACTATCTGAATCTGATTTGTCATCGTCGTCATCGTCTTGGTCCCTGTACATCCGCATACTCTTGTTCTTTGGAGGCTCTGGACCCAGAGGAAACAGCGACAGTACTTTCAGGTTCTTGGCGTCGACAAGCAAAGCAGAGACGGACCGGACGGCGTCTTCGGTGGGCAGGCAGCCCTGGAGGCTCAGGTGCGTGAGGCTATGCAGTCCGCGCAGGACGCTGGCGAACAGACTGCTGTTGTAGGCCATTGACGGGCGCAAGGACAGGTGGAGATACGCCAGCTTGGTGCACTGGCCGATGAGCCTTGTGACCGGAGCAAGGTCGTCTCGATCAGTCCCGTTGAGTTTTCCGCAGATTTCAATCTTCACCGCCATGATTCCTTCATAGTCGGCGACGGCGATGAACGGTGCATCACGAGCAGGGAGGCCGCCTTTGTAGTGCAGCGACTGCAGGCATGTGCTGCGAAGATCGACGCTGGTGGCGTTGTGGCAGCAGATCATGGTGAAGCTCCGCAGGCGGGCGGGCGTCACGGCTATCTCCTTGATGGTCGGGCACTCCTCCAGCGTCAGTTTGGTGATGAGGGGGCAGGCGGAGATCAGCTGCTGCAGCTCCCCGTAGGGGTCCATGATCCTCGCAAGGCAGAGCGTGTCCAGCAACGCCATGTCCACGCTTCCCGGCAGATCGAGCGTCCAGTTGGCCAGCCGCAGCCGCCGGAGTGTAGGGCAGCGGAAGATGTGGGGGTGCGTCGTGGTGAACCTGCCCCTGCTGTGTTCGTCGAAGTCCGCCGAGTGCTTATCTCCGCTGTACGGGCAACGGAGGAAGGGGCAGAGCGTGTTCATGGCCTCGTCCCAGTACCTGAGCTTGACGTCGAGGTCCTCCACGCCGGATTTCACGGCGGTGGCGATCCACTGGTCGAGCAGGTCGTACGGGGGGTGGAGCACGGTGACTCGGAAGGTGCGGATCGGCGTCTCCGCGGCCTTGCCCACGATCGTGCTCGTCACCTGGTGGTCGAAGCAGACCTTGCGGCCGCCGCCGCCGCCGTGCCGTTCGCCTGACTTGGTGTCGACGAGGTGGACGACGGGGACGCCCTCGTAGACGTGGTGCCATCGCCGGGCGAGCCCGCTGGTGCGCACGGCCTCGTCGGACATTAGGTGGGAGAGCACGCGCTCTAGCGCCTTGTCGGGGAGAGCGCTCAGCCGGTCTCCTCCGTTCCTGTGCGACGTCGCCATCTTCGGCCGTCCGTCGGCGTCGCGGTGACCGATCAGATCAGATGCATGGATGCAGGCGGTATTTATGTCAACAGAATCTGCAAATCTCCTGATTTTAGTCGGTTGCCAAAACAAACTTGGCCCCAAAGTTCCGTGCCTAGTCGGTCACGTCAGGAAACCCTAGACAAAACCCTCTCCCCTTGCCTTATATCAGTCGTTGCATATGGCAGCCTTCTTTCCCAGATCGGATCGGCATGGCTTCGCCGTCGGGGAGCAGAGATCGGCTGAGCGAGCTCCCGGACGTCCTGCTGGGCCACGTCCTCTCCTACCTCCCAACCAAGGCGGCCGGCCGCGCGGCGGGGCTGTCCCGGCGGTGGCGCGACATCTTCTCCAACGTCCAGACCATCTCCTTCGGGGAGCGCGAGGGCGCGAGGGCCAGCGACTGGACCACCTTCTACTACGAGGCCAATGAGCGGAAGAGCTGCAGCGCCGTCCTCCTGGACGACGTCTGGTCCGCCATCCTCTGCCGCCGCCGGTGCGCCGGCGCCAACGTGCCGCTGCGCAGCCTCCGCGTCGCCTTCGACAGCTGCAGCGGGTGGGACCGCTGCCACGTCGACCAGTGGCTCTCCTGCGTGCTGCGCCACAGCAGCCAGGAGCTGCACCTCGACCTCACCTTCCGCCTCGGCCCGATCTGCCCGCACGCCAATGAGGACGATAGGTTCGGGCGCGGCAGAGTGGGCGGCTGGTATGACCTGCCGAGAAACCTCGTCTCCTGCACCGCCATGCGCTCGCTGTGCCTCGCCTACTGCACGCTGAATCTGCCGGAGGCCATCAACCTGCCGTCCCTCGAGACGCTGCGCCTGACCGGCGTGCGCGGCAGAGATCGCGAGCTGCCCCCGTCTGGTGGACGTGGACCTCACGCTAGAAGCCAACGCAGGGGTAGACAAAGTCTCCGTCCTCGATAGGCGCCTCCGCCGGTTCGCCCTCCGGTGCTGCCACAACGTGGACTCTGTTGACATCGATGCGTCCGAGCTCATGGCGCTGGACTACTGCGGCATGGTTCCGGCAGAGTCGCTTCTGTCTCTGCACGGCTCGCCCGCGATCATCCAGTCTTGCACGGTCGATTTCTGCCAAGTCCTTTCCGGGGAGGCGGAGTTCGCCGGGTTCAAGAGGTTTATGGAGAAAATCTCCGGCGCGAAGCACGTTCGTCTGCACCATCGACGCCTTCCGGCCAGATCCTTCGAGGGCTTCCCCACGTTCCCAAACCTGACGCGGCTGGGGCTGCAAGGTCCCCTTCAGAGTCCCGACGTGGTACGTCAGATCCTGGAGCAAACGCCAAACCTGGAGATCCTCTCGCTGTTCATGGAGTGCTCCGTGGTTCCCGACGAGTTCAACTTCAACACTCCTGCTGATGAGTCAATTCCCGACGAGTCGAGCTTCTCGATCCCATGCTTGCAGAACCGTGTGAGGGAGATCAACATGGTTCATTACGAAGGTAACGAGCTGCAGAGGGCCATGGCCAAGCTTTTGTTCCGGAACGCGCTGCTTCTTGAAAGGTACTGCGTCGTGCTCGTCAAGGGACCATTCGCGTTGCAGGATGGACTCAAGAAGGAGATCGAAAGCTTGGTGGTGGCTGCCAATGCAGAACCCATTTTCCTGTGATTCGTTAGCTGGTTTTCTTCCATGGGCCAACTGAACTCCCTTCACAGATTATACGTTTTCCTAGTGTAACTGAGAATAAGGCCCTGTTTGGTTCATAAGTCCTAGGACTTTTTAGTCCCAACTAAAAAGTCTCTAGTTCCTAAAAAGTCCCTCCCTGTTTGTTTGCAGAGACTAAAAAGTCCCTAGTTCCTTCCTAGAGGTTATTAAATGACCATATTGCCCCTAGTATATAGAAAAATAACAATCAAACAACACCATGGGGTGGCGGGCCATTAAATGCATGGAGGGGCATTGTTGGAAAAGTCCCAAAAAAGACTCTCCTTGAGAGTCTTCTTCATTTAGTCCCAAATGCCTAGTTTAGTTCCTAAAAAGTCCTCCCGTTTGGTAAAACAGTCTCTAAGAGGGACTTTTTCTAGTCCCTACACAAAAAAGTCCCTGAAAACAAATACCCCCTAAATTTGCATGTAAGATGACGATCAAATTATTTTATTTTTCAGAACAATTCTGCATGTAAGATCATTCATAAGTTTGTCATCTCTCTCGGTGGTGGTTTGAATTTTGAATTCATTTTTTTATAATATATAAGCCAGTTTTGAAGAGTTCTATAATTTGGGCCGGCCAAAACAAAACAACAACAACTCCTCATCCCCTCTTGTACACAACATCTCTCTCTCTCACTCCCTCCCCCCCTCGCCGCCCGTCCTGTCGTCACCCGGCTAGATCCACCCTGCCTCCGCCTCGTCGTGCCTCCATTCCCATGCTAACGGCCACCTCATTTTTTCGTTGTAGTTTTTAGTTAAGTGTAGTGTAGATTTTAAATGCAACCTTTAGTTGTAGTTAGGTGGAATTTTAGGTGTAGTTTTAGTCTAGTTTGTAAATAAGTGTGGTTTATCATTTAGTTAAGTGCAACCATGGGAGGAGATGATGGGATAAAGAATGCTATGGAAACTATTGTGAAGACAAGAAAGGAAGCAAATGAGGAGAGGAGGGTGTCGAGGAGCCAAGAGTCGGCGGCCGACGAGAGGAGGTTGGTGGCCGAGGAAAGGAGGTTGGCGGCCGAGGAGAGGAAGGTGGCATTGGAGGAGAAGAAATTGGCCATGGAGGAGCGAGCTTGATTATTGGAATGGGAGAAGTACTTGCTCTTCATGGACACATCTAACTTCGATGATAGGCAAAAGGAGTTCATCAACCTTTCCCGTGATGAAGTCTTGGTCCAAAAAAGAGTGATGTCCATGGAAGGCATGGGAGCTACCATGGGAGGCTTGGAAGGCATGGGAGCTACACATGAAAGGCTTGGGAGGCATGGGAGCTACCATGGGAGGCTTGGGAACAAGCGTGGGAGCCATGGACGCCATGTGTGGCATGAGAGGTATGGGTGGATTCAGAGCTACCACGAAAGCAAATTTGAAACTCTCCATTATTTCTATCAAACCCGCCATTTGAGACGGTCCACACCCTTCATCACTGATCTCATGAAGCACACCGCTGCTCGTCCCGCGGTCACAACCCAACGTTCGATCGAGCCGGAGTTGAATTCCCACTGGTGGCACCGGAGGATTCACCGCCTTGGCGCCCGCAATTGCACTTTCGATATTGACCGTCACCCGCCGGAGTCATAGCCGAGGCCTGGCCACGTGTCATCTCTGATCTTTTTTGCAATCTTGCCAGCCGATGTTGATCTGGCTACCGGATTCCGACAGGCGACAGTCTGCCTTGTGTCCTCGCCGCCTCGGAGGCGCAGTTGCGCAGCAGATGGTAGGTCGCGACTCCGTCTCGCGTTCCTGTGCACGCAGACGAACAGGCATCGATCAATTCTCCTTCATGGATCGATCGAGGAAACAAGGCCTACTGGCTGTTGTGGCCCATATGATTGCTTAGATGGTACGAGTAAGGCCCAAACTGCATAAAAACACCCAGAGTGGCCAGTTAGAGAAGTTTGTGATTTCTCAAAAAAAAGTTAGAGAAGTTTGTGTATTTTTCATCGTATTTTCGTGTTTTTGAGGCATACGATATCTAGGAAGGTTCGCTATAGTTCAAAAAATCAACGGGATCGAGCCTGGGCACATGCCCAGGGTGCCCGTACGGTAAATTTGCCCCTGCCGATGGCGGCGAGGGATCTAGTACTGACAGAGTCTGAGTATCGGCCAATTTCAGGTCCCGGCGTAGCTACTTAACAAAGAGGATGGGTTCTTCTTTTGAGAAGGGTAAATCCACATCTTCTCCTGTGACTTTTCTTGGAAGGGTTGACGTAGGCGATCAGCCAGGCGAATAGGTTTTGCTGGGCCACATCGTCCGCCTCCCAGCGGCGGCGCTGGTAATCTTGCCTTGTATAGGCTGGATGTGGTGATTGTGTTTGGTGTTTGTTGAACCAGATTCTTGAGGGCTCAGACCTAGAGGTTGACCGGAGCAATGAAGATATTAAGCTTCAACTGTGGGGGGCTCTGGAGGAACCCAACAATTAGGGCACTACTGGATGTACAAAATCAGCATGGTGCCAATGTGGTGTTCTTGTCAGAAACACATCTGGATGTTTGGGCAGCGGAAGTTCTCAGGAGAAGGATACACATGGATTTTAAAGAGGTCGTTAGGAGTGATGGCAGAAGTGGTGGCCTGCTGATGTTATGGAAGGAGGCAAATATTTCGCTTCGTTTCAAATCAAATAATTTCATTGATGTCTATGTGGGCTTGGGACAAACAGATGTGTGGCGATTGACTGGTCTGTACGGTGAACCACATTGGGAAAAGAAACATGAAACTTGGTGCTGTTTGAGAGATCTTGCTGCAGTTAGCAATTTACCATGGATGGTGATAGGTGATATAAATGAAATTCTATATGCTTTTGAGAAGGAAGGGGGTAATCCAAGGCCAGCACACTACATGCAAGCTTTTAGGGATGCTCTTATGGATTGTGACCTTTCTGATTTTGGGTAGACTGGTGACAAGTTTACGTGACATAGGGGTGCGATCAGAGAGAGACTAGATAGGGATTTGCTAAATGATTCGTGGAGTTTGAAGTTTGAAGGGGCTGTGCTCAAGCATCTCGGCTATGCCCGTTCTGACCATAGGCCCATTCTGATGGATACAGAAACCCATGAAACACACTGAGGGGAGTGGGGAAAGAGTGCTTCGCTTTGAAGCGAAATGGCTGAAAGAATCAAACTTCTGCGATGTAGCTCATGGAGCGTGGGATCTGGTAAGTAGTGAAGAGTTGTTGGGGAATCTTGCGAGTAAACTTGCGTTTGTTCATACCCAGTTGCACCACTGGGACCGTTCGGTCTTGAGAAGCAGGAGGAAAAAAATACGAAGTGCGTAAAGAGAGCTAGAACAGATAACAAGAGCTGATGTCAGTGAATCAAACT